GGGGAGGGACAATGCGGGGGGGAGCTGGGGAGGGATAGCATGGGGAGAAATGCCAGATGTGAGTGAAGGGGAGGAAGGCAGCAAATCACACTGCCATGTGTGTACCTATGCAACTATCTTGCATGTTCTGCACATGTACCCCAAAACCTAAAATGCAATAAATAAATAAATAAATTGTTTGGCCAGGCGTGGTGGCTTACACCTGTAATCCCAGCACTTTGGGAGGCCAAAATGGGCAGATCACTTGAGGTCAGGAGTTCAAGACTATTCTGGCTAATATGGTGAAACCCCATCTCTACTAAAATTACAAAAATTAGCCGGGTGTGGTGGCAGGTGACTGTAATCCCAGCTACTCAGAAGGCTGAGGCAGGAGAATCACTTGAACCAGGGAGGTGGAGGTTACAGTGAGTCAAGATGGTGCCACTGCACTCCAGCCTGGGTGACAGAGCAAGACTCCATCTCTAAATAAATAAATAGATAAAGGCCAGGCATGGTGGCTCACCCCTATAATCCCAGCACTTTGGGAGGCCGAGGTGGGTGGATCATGAGGTCAAGAGATCGAGACCATCGTGGTCAACATGGTGAAACCCCATCTCTACTAAAAATGCAAAAATTAGCTGGGCATGGTGGCACGCGCCTGTAGTCCCAGCTACTCATGAGGCTGAGGCAGAAGAATTGCCTGAACCCAGGAGGCGGAGGTTGCGGTGAGCCGAGATCATGCCATAGCACTCCAGCCTGGGTAACAAGAGCAAAACTCCGTCTCAAAATTAAATAAATAAATAGATAGATAAAATAAATTGTTTACCCCCAAAGATGCCCTGACTTAAAAGTCAGCATGTACGACTTATTAATGAACACGGTTCTTGGCATTAGAGTCTCATTATGCTGGCGCTACAGTGATAATCTAATTGTTCCTGAAAGGAGACATGTAATTGTGGGGGCTCTGCATGTCTGGGCCACAGCAAAATCACTTTATGGTCCTCTTTGTATCTGTCAGATTAAATCATGTGAGAGACCTTGGCTGGTCTGTCAGATACCCCAGAGCTCATTCTGGCTGTTTGATTGAGGGCTCTGAATGAAATCTCCCCACATTGCAAAGGGCTGGGCTCTCTCTACTGCTGGATTCCCCTTGGAGGAAAATCTTCCATGGGAACTGGGTAGGATTCTGTGTCCAGGGCTTTGGTAGCAATTGCAGAATGATTAACATGGCATTAGGAGAAACTGTATATAAAAGGAGATGGTAGCACTCCCATCCTCTGAGTAGGAAAGTCTATTAAACCCCTTTCCTACTCAGCAGAAGACACTTTGTAGCTGATCAAACTGTCCCCATGATCACCATGGCTGTCACTTGTACTGAGACCATATGGGCCAGGCATGGTGCTGACACTTCATACATCCTCACAACAGCCCTAGTTTTCAAATAAAGGAACTGAAGATGGGAGAGGTTGTTCCAGGTCACGTGGCTGGTAAATGACATGGTTGAGACCCCAGTCCCATTCAGTTAGGCCCAGACATGGAGCTTGGCTCTGCCCACTGAAGTGCTCTCAATCTTCATGCCTCTTTCCTTCCCCACCATCAAGACCCTCCAACACTGCCATCTGTCACCAGGATGCACGGGCCCCTCAGCCACTGTCCTGCCTTGCTCTGAGGGTACCAGGCTCCAGCTAACAACCTTACAAGGTTCTTTTGACACTCAAGAGCCAGTGGTGGTATGGTTTAGTTTTGTGTCCCCACCCAAATCTCACCTTCAATTGTAATTCCATAATCCCCATGGTGGGAGGGACCTGATGGAAGGTAAGTGAATCATAGGGGCAGTACCCCCATGCCATTCTTTTTTTTTTTTTTGACAGAATGTCATTCTGTTGCCCAGGCTGGAGTGCAGTGGATTGATCTCAGATCACTGAAACCTCCACCTCCTGGGTTCAAGTGATTTTCATGCCTCAGCCTCCCAAGTAGCTGGGATTACAGGCATGCACCACCACGCCTGGCTAATTTTTGTATTTTTAGTTTAGATGGGGTTTCACCATGTTGCCCATGCTGGTCTCGAACTCCTGACCCCAAATGATCCACCTGCATCAGCCTCCCAAAGTGTTGGGATTACAGGCGTGAGCCACACTGTCCACCCCATCCCCATGCTATTCTTGTGATAGTAACTTCTGACAAGATCTGTTTTATAAGGTGCTGCCCCCTTCTCTTAGCTCTCATCCTTCTCCTTCCTGCAGCCATGTTAAGAAGAATGAGTTTGCTTCCCCTTCTGCCATGACTTTAAGTTTCCTGTGGCCTCCCTAGCCACACTGAACTGCGAGTCTATTAAACCCCTTTCCTTTGTAAGTTACCCAGTCTCAGGTATGTCTTTATTAGCAGTGTGAGAATGAACTAACACCAGTGGAGAATCTGACTGGTAAGACCTTTCCTGATGAATGTTTTGCCCTGTTATTCTCTCCAGCCTCATCTTGGGGCAACCCCATCCCACCCCACCACCGCCTCTGATCCTGCGACCACTGAGGGGTCTTTAGCTCTCTTAACAGCTAGGGTCTCCCCAATCTCTGAGCCTTATTTTCAAATTGTACTTCTCCTATCTTCAACAAGTGAATTCCTCCTCACCCTTTAGATCTCAGCTTACATAATCCCACCTCTAAGCAGCCTTCCTCGACCCTCAAACCTGGGCTGGTTGCCTCTCCATGTGTGTCTTTCACCAGGGTGAAGCATCGGGCCCACTGCATCAGGATTTTTATTGATTTGTCTGTCTCCCCACAATAGGCCATGCTACTTCAGGCAGGGGTCATTGATTTTGTTTTCCATGACTCCTTACCTCCTAGCACTGTCTGGCACAGAGAGATGTGCGGTCAATATTTATTGTAAATATTAACTGACTTAAAATATACTAACCGAGGCTGGGCACAGTGGCTCACACCTGAATCCTAGCACTTTGGGAGGCTGAGGTGGGTGGATCACTTGAGGTCAGGAGTTCGAGATCAGCCTGTCCAACATGGCGAAACTCTGTCTCTACTTTTAGTAACAAAAAAATTAGTGGGGCATGGTGGTGCCTGCCTGTAATCCCAGATTCTTGAGGTTGAGACAGGAGAATTGCTTGAACCTGGAAGGTGGAGGTTGCAGTGGGCCAAGATTGTGCCATTGCCCTCCAGCCTGGGGGACAGAGCAAGACTTCATCTCAAAAAAACAAAAACAAAAACAAAAAACCACACACATATATACTAACTGTATTAGTCCATTTTCACACTACTCTAAAGATACTACCTGGGACTGGGTAATTTATTAAGAAAAGAGGTTTAACTGACTCACAGTCTGCATTGCTGGGGTTGCCCCAGGAAACTTAAAATCATCATGGAAAGCAAAGGAGAAGCAAGCACCTTCTTTACAAGGCAGCAGAAGAGAGAGAGAGCAGGAGCACAGGGAAGCACCGGACACTTATCAAACAACTAGATCTCACGAGAACTCACTCACTATCACTAGAACAGCAAGGGGCAAATCTGCCCCCCAATCCAATCACCTCCCACCAGCTCCCTCCCTCAATATATGGGGATTACAATTTGAGATGAGATTTGGGTGAGGATACAGAGCCAAACCATATCACTAACCTCTATAAAATTTAGCAAGAAAGCAAATTTTCTAAATCAGAAAATTAAAGCTTTTTTTATTTTGAGATAAAATCTCACTCTGTCAACCACACTGGAGCGTAATGGCTCGATCTTGGCTCACTGCAACCTCCACCTCTTGGATTCAAGTGATTCTCTTGCCTCAGCCTCCCGAGTAGCTGGGATTACAGGCACCGGCCACCACGTCCAGCTAATTTATTTTTGTATTTTTAGTGGAGATGGAGTTTCACCATGTTGGCCAGACTGGTCTCGAACTACTGAGTTCAGGTGGTCCCCCCATCTCAGCCTCCCAAAGTGCTGGGATTACAGGCCTGAGCCACCACACCCAGCCAGAAATTAATGTGTGCAAGGCACTTTTTGCTCCAAAACACGGTCTACACATTACATTGGTTACAGAGAAAAAATTAATCTACAGTTAAAACGTAATGCTAAACAAAATCCCAAAGAAGTGTTTTTAATACAACTTATGGTGATTCTGAAATTTACATGGAGAGAAAACTCCAATACATCAAAAAAACTAAAGAACTCTAAGGAAGCTAGGCAAGGTAGCTCAGGCCTATAATCCCAACACTTGGGGAGGCCAAGGTGGGCAGATTACCTGAGGTCAGGAGTTTGAGACCAGCCTGGCCTACATGGTGAAAGTCCATTTCTACCAAAAAAAAAAAAATTAGCCAACCCTGTTGGTGCATGCCTGTAATCCCAGCTACTCAGGCAGCTGAGGCAGGAGAATTGCTTGAACCTGGAGGTGGAGGTTGCAGTGAGCTGAGATCATGCCACTGCACTCCAGCCTGGGCGACAGAGCAAGACGCATCTCAAAAAAAAAAAAAAAAAAAAAAAGAACAATGAGGAACAATTTATTCTACCTGCTGTCAAAATATATTATAAAACAACAACAATTAAACAGGCACAGGAATTGATACAAATCAATGAAGACTATTCAAAATCAGAGTAAATGCTATTAAGAAAATCAGATACACTTTTGGAAAATGTAAAACTTAGATTTCTTTCTCACAACTTGCAGAAAAACAAATTCCAGAAGGTTACAATTAAAAACACACTTTTCAACTGGGCATGGTGACTCATGCCAGTAATCTCAGCACACTGGGAGGTCGAGGTGGTAGGATCACTTGAGCCCAGGACTTTGAGACCAGGCTGGGCAATGCAGTGAGACCCTGCCTTTAAATTTGTGTAGTGGCATATACCCATAGTCCTAGCTACTCAGGAAGTTGAGGTGGGAGGATCGCTTGAGCCTAGGAGGTCAAGGTTGCAGTGAACTGCGATCATGCCACTGCACTCCAGCCCAGGTGACAGAGAGACCCTTTCTCAAAATAAGGAAGAAAGAAAAGAAAGGAAGGAAGGGAGGGAGGGAGGGAGGGAGGGAGGGACACTTGTTGAATGGTCCCTTCTTTTCCAAGTGATTTAAGTGGTACCTTTATCACTAAGTGAATTTCTACAAATACATAAATCTGTTTCTAGGGACGGCATTCTGGTGCTAAGAATGAAAACCTAGGATTTGTACCTGCAGCATTTTTAAAAAGAGAGTCTTGGCTCTGTGAGACTACCCACTCAGGACAGGACCATAGAAACCTATATAAATCTTAAAAATGCCAGTAACAGAATCTCTGCTTCTGAAGCCTCTTCCTGGAAGGAAACAATCATTCTGCAGATATATGCTGAAGGCAACTTTCAAGTAACACAGTCCCAAGTAATTACAGTGGGCATTTCCCAGACCTAAGCTCTCCTCTAGCACCTGCTGGTTTACCTAACTAGGCACTGCCTAGCTAGGAAGCTTCCAGGGCCAAGAGGCAATGTTGTGACCAAGAAAGGGTGCCAGGTTGAGAAAAGGCACATTTTGCATTGAGGTGTCAAGGTTTTTCTATTTCCATAAATTGCCTTCTCATGCAAGCATTCCCAACAGCAAAGATTTTACATACCAGGCAGATTTGGGAAGCAAGAGTGTTATCGGTATTACAGAGTTATTAATTTGCCTTAAGACAAAATATGCTCTCTGGCTTGGCATGGTGGCTTATGCCAGTAATCACAGAACTTTGGGAGGCCAAGGTGGGTGGATCACTTGAGGTCAGGAGTTTGAGACCAGCCTGGCCAATGTGGTGAAACTCTGTCTCTACTATAAATAGAAAAATTAGCTGGCCGTGGTGGCACTTGCCTATAGTCTCAGTTACTTGGGAGGCTAAGGCAGGAGACTCACTTGAATCCAGGAGGTGGAGGTTTGGAGGCTGCAGTGAGCCAAGATCATAGCACTGCACTCAGCCTGGGCACTGGGCAACAGAGCAAGACTCTGTCTCAAAAAAAAAAAAAAAAAAAAAAAAAAAAAAAGAGTTCTCTGAATAAGACTCCCTGCCTCTGAGATGTGGTATTTTATGTCTTAGGGGAATGAAAACAGGCAGAACCTTGAGAGGCAAGATCCTGTGTCTGCAGTGAGCTGCCTTCACTAAATCCCCCAGATACCAATGAATAGCACACGGGTTCCTGGGCAATTGCCCTGTGATTCTCCCTGTGTATACACAATAATTTTCCTTTTCTCCAAAAAAAAAAAAAAAAAAAAAAAAAAAAGAAAAGCCACAGGTTCCATACTCTTTGAAGCAGAAAGGACATATCAGACACTGTCATGCCTGAGAAAACATACGATCATTTTTGAAAAGGCAAAATGAGTAGTTGCTCATCAGGAGAATCTGTGTTTGACACTTTCTCAGGTTGTCCTGGGATGGCCGACTCTGTCGTCCCCAGCCTAGGACACTCTCATGCTGCTTATGGGAATGTAAAATGGTGTAACCACTTTGGCAGACGATGTGGCAATTTCTTCAAAAGTTAAACATATACCTACCCTATGAACCAGCCATTTCATTCCTAGGTATTTGCCCAAGAGAAAAAAACCTGTATGTCCACAGAAAGACTTGAATGCAAATGTTCACAGCAGCTCTGTTATGGCCAAACCTGGAAACAACTCAAAAGTTCATCCACAGGCAACAGCTAAATGCATCCACACAATGAAACACTACTCAGCAATGAAAATAAACTAGTGATGTGTGCAACAACACAGATGAATTTCAAAATAATTACACTGGGTGACAAAAGCCAACTAGAGTACATGTAGTACAATCCCATTTGTATAAAATCCTAGAAAATGCAGCCAGGTGCAGTGGCTCATGCCTGTAATCCCAGCACTTTGGGAAGCTGAGGCAGATCACCTGAGGTCAGGAGTCTGAGACCAGCCTGGCGAACACGGTGAAACCTGGTCTCTACCAAAAATAAAAAAAAATTAGCCGGGTGTTGTGGCATGTGCCTGTAATCCCAGCTACTTGGGAGGCTGAGGCAGGAGAATTGCTTGAACTCAGGAGGTGGAGGTTGCAGTGAGCCAAGATTGCACCACTGCACTCTAGCCTGGACAGCAAGATCGAAAACTCTACCTCAAAAAAAAAAAAAAAAAAAAAAAAACAGGAAAAAGAAAGAAAGAAAGGGAGGGAGGGAGGAAGGGAGGAAAGAAAGAAAGAAAAGAAAGAAAGAAATTCTAGAAAATGGAAGCTATCACACCAAAAAGTAGATTAATGGTTGTCTGCAGGAGGTGGAAGGGGCTAAGGAGGAATTACAAAAGGGCCTGAAAGAATTTGGGGTGATGAATGTGTACATTATCCTGACTATGGCAGTGGTTTCATGGGTGCTTAAAGGTCAAAACTGATCAGACTGTACACTGTAGGCAGTTTACTGCACTCCAGTTACGATTTTCTGTTTTTGAGACAGAGTTTCGCTCTGTCGCCCAGGCTGGAGTGCAGTGGCATGATCTTGGCTCACTGTAACCTCCATCTCCTGGGTTCAATTGATTCTCCTGCCTCAGCCTCCCAAATAGCTGGGATTACAGGTGCCCTCCACCATGGCTGGCTAATTGTTGTATTTTTAGTAGAGATGGAGTTTCACCATGTTGGCCTGGGCTGGTCTCAAACTCCTGACCTCAAGTAATCCACCTGCCTCGGCCTCCCAAAGTGCTGGGATTACGGGCAAAAGCCACTGAGCCCAGCTTATAATTTTTTTTTCCCGTTCTTCTGTTAATTTTTTTTAACACATGGATGGAAAACAAAATAAAGAGTGGTTGTCCGTGAAGAAACTCTATATTCCACACATTCTCCAGCTGGGACACTCACTGCAAGCACGCTGAGATCAGGAGGCCCAGAAGCTTCCTGTGGTCAGACCTCTTATCTCCTGCTAGAAGCCCAGTGTTCTCATGGCTCACTTTGCCACTGGTCCCCATCTTCCCCTACTGGGCAGATGCCACTCCCCAGTCAGCCCACTTGAGGCCAATGTAGTCCACAGTCCACTCAGGGCCACCATTCACATCCCCCAGAGAATCTCTGCCCAAGCTGCTAAGATCTTTATAGGAGGCAGAGATATATCAGATTGGATTCCATTTGTGATTACACATTACCTACTCAAGCAGGTATTCCTGGGTCTCTCCACACACATACCTCAGGCTGGAGCCTGAGCCACAGGACAAATGACTCAGTGCATGGCATGAACCAGGGCATTAACTAAAGTCAGGAATGGCTGCTTTGGGGAACAGGATGGAAAGAGAGGAAGGTCGGGGAACAGGGCTGCTACTTTTAAAAGAAGCATGACTTCCATACTCCCTTCCTGTGTGTATGAGTGGATGTAAAAACAAAAACATTTTAAATATTAAAATAAAAATCATACATGAGGCCGAAACCTTGTGTGTGGGCCCCTCAAGGCCTCCCACCTCCTGCTGAAAGCCAGCTCCCTGGTCAGCCCACTGGAGGCCCACTTTTACTTTTGAGTTGTTTGAAATGCCAGACCTTAGATCCACAAATGCCAAAGGGGTTCAATTAAAACAGTTTAGTTGTAGGCCAGGTGCGGTGGCTTACGCCTATAATCCTAGCACTTTGGGAGGCCGAGACAGACGGATCACCTGAGGTCAGGAGTTCGAGACCAGTCTGGCTATCATGGCGAAATGCTGTCTCTACTAAAAACACAAAAATTAGCCGGGCATGGTGGCAGGTGCCTGTAATCCTAGCTACTTGAGAGGCTGTGGCATGAGAATTGCTTGAACCAGGGAGGTGGAGGTCATAGTGGGCTGAGATGGCACCATTGTGCTCAAGCCTGGGCAGTAGAGTAAGACTCCATCTCAAAAAAACTAAAATAAAACCAAATCAAAAACAGTTCAGTGAAGTCTTAGTGGCCTGGGTGCATTACAACAACATGGAAAATGCCAGTCACAGCGCTATGGCATTTACTCCATCTCCTGCGTGTTGGGTTCTTCACACATAGCAGGGGCTGGGGAAAACTCTTGAATGAGGTTGGCTTCTCAGCAGCTGCACCCCTCCTGGATGAGATTTTTCATGGGACATGCTACTGGATCTTCACTGTGCCACATTCTGAGAGGAAATGGATCACTGCGGTGTAGTCACAGCAGAAGCGTTAGCACCGGGCTGCAGCAAATGGTACCAGGTAACTCGTGGTTTTCAAATAATGCTAAATAACAGCGCCTTTCTGCTCGACCAGGGCTGTGGGCCCCTCAAGGACCAAACCAAACACTCAGCATGAATGATCCTTCAATTCTGGCATCTTGATTTGGCTTTGAATTGACAAATAGATGAAAAGTTTTCACTTCATATAGAATGAGAATCTGACTGACACGCACAAAATGCGCATCTAAAAGGAAAAACAATGAGGAAAGGAACACCAAAAGGCAAGAGAGAGCCTGAGGGGCGATGACAAGCTGGACTTCTGAGTCAGAGGCGTGGGGAGACACATGTGGGGAGACAGGTGCAAAGGGCAGGGGCCGCTCAGGTGAGCCAGGGTGGGCAGCAAGGACCACCTATCACCAGGAAAAAAAACCACCTAGCCACCAAAGGGGCTGGGGGTCCTACAGGTCCTCATAGCTCAAGCATGAGACTGGACCCCTCCTTTGTCCCCTCAGCTCTATTTCTACTTCATTCTAGAAAGGAACTGAGGATACTTTAAAAAAAAAGTACTTCCTTTCTCTCTGGCGCTTTCTCAGTGAAGGGCAAGATATGGGTTCTTGTCACTTGGAGTTACTTTGTCCAGCTCCCACAGCTGCAAGTGCACCCCAGGAAGGGAAGGGAGGCCAAGTGGCGGAGGCAGGAGTGCACTTGGTGACCATGCTGCCTGGGATCACCCTCTGGAGACATTTGCAAATGTCCCCATCCAAAAAACATGAGCCCTCAGTATATGAATAATGGTTTCTAGATTACACATATGTTGTACTATTTGACTTACACTTTATGTATATTATACAACATATATAAAAACTAAAATTTTTAAAGATAAAATTAAATCAGTTTTTTTTTTTTTTTTTGAGATGGAGTCTCACTCTGTTGCCAAGGCTGGAGTGCAGTGGCACAATCTTGGCTCATTGCAACCTCTGCCTCCCAGGTTCAAGCGATTCTCCAGCTTTAGACTCCCAAGTAGCTGGGATCACAGGTGCCCACCACCACATCTGGCTAATTTTTTTATTTTTAGTAGAGACAGGATTTCACCATGTTGGCCAGGCTGCTCTCGAACTCATGACCTCAAGTCACCCACACAGCTTGGCCTCCCACAGTGCTGGGATTACAGGTGTGAGCCACCGTGCCCGGTTTGAAAAGAACTTCTAATGTTTTCTTCTCATACTGTAGTGGTTATCTTGTGCCTTTCTAGGCACTCACTTCTATTTTTTTAAAACAACTGGGCTAGAGGACAGGGGAAATCAAGAGCCACAATACCACTCACATCCACCAGCCAACAGAATTTTCCCTAGGGAAGTGTTATCAAAGAAAGGGCACTCCAAGAATGGACATGGGTGGCGGGTGTTATAACAGGCCATAATTGCAGGCTGCTCAAGTGTCCAACTACTGGATGGCTGGATAAGAAAACTGGCGCCAAGCTCTCCACAGAGCAGAAGCAAAAGCAGACAGTGACAACAAAAACTGAAGAGTAGCCAGAATGCTGATGCTGGTATGCCCAGGGGAAGGGGAACGCAGTGGTGGTCGTGGTGGTGTCAGCGGAGTGTGTGTGTGTGTGTGTGTGTGTGTGTGTGTGTGTGTGCTCGCGCGTGCATGCGTACAGGCAGGATGAGCAGGTCCTGGAGAAACAGCACTCACTGGGATCACGGTAAGGTTTATATTTCTTCTTTTAAATCTCCTTTAATGCTGGGCACTGTGGCTCACACCTGTAATCCTAGTACTTTGGGAGGCCGAGGTGGGCAGATGAATTGAGGTCAGGAGATTGAGGCCAGCCTGGCCAAGGTGGTGAAACCCCATCTCTACTAAAAAAAACAATTAGCTGGGCATGCCGGTACATGCCTATAGTCCCAGCTGTTCGGGAGGTTGAGGCACGAGAATCTCTTGAACCTGGATGGTGGAGTTGCAGTGAACCGAGATTGTGCCACTGGACTCCAGCCTGGGTGATGGAGTGAAACTCTGCCTCAAATAAATAAATAAACTCCTTTAACGTCACTATAACCTTTTTAATAGCACAGAAAATCAAGTTGAAGTGAATAGTGAAGGATCATTTTTCTCACCAATTCCTTCTTCCTCCCTCTCCCCCAAAAGACAGAGCATCGATTTCCTCCCAACAGCTTCCTGGGCTTCCAGACAGATGAGCACGTGTGTAAACCAGCCAAGCTCCACTAATGGGGCTTTCTGCCCACCTGCTCTCCCCAGCTGCTACCGTCACTCTCCCTGACTGCTCCCTGCCCTCCCTTAGCAGAAGGGCTGCATGGGCTGTCGCTGTGGGCACTATGGCATTTTTCTCCAGCATCTGGTTATCAAGCGATGGCCTTGAGCTGCTGTTGCATCTGGGAGACCCTCAGCCCAGTGCAACTGAGTATTTCTGTACAGACAGAAGAATAGTTGTATTAGTCCATTCTCACACTGCTGATAAAGACATATCCAAGACTGGGCAACTCACTAAAGAAAGCGGTTCAATGGACTTACTGCTCCACGTGGCTGGGGAGACCTCACAATCAAGGCAGAAGGTAAAAGGCACATTTCACACAGCAGCAGACAAGAGAAGAGAGCTTGTGCAGGGAAACTCCCCTTTTTAAAAACCATCAGATCTTGTGAGACTTACTCGCTATCGCAAGAACAGCACAGGAAAGACCCACCCCCATAATTCAACCACCTCCTACCCGGTCCCTCCCACAATGCATGGGAATTTAAGATGAGATGTAGGTGGGGACACAGCCAAACCCTATCATTCCTCCTCCAGTCCCTCCCAAATCTCATGCCTTCACATTTCAAAACCAATCACGCCGTCCCAACAGTCCCCCAAAGTCTTAATTCATTTTAGCATTAACTCAAAGGTCCACAGTCCAAAGTCTCATCTGAGACAAGGTAAGTCCCTTCTGCTTATGAGCCGGTAAAATCCAAAGCAAGTTAGTTCCTTTCTAGATACAGTGGGGGTACAGGCATTGGGTAAATACAGCCATTCCAAACTGGAGAAACTGGCCAAAACAAAGAGGCTACAGGCCCTATGCATGTCTGAAATCCAGTGGGGCAGTCAAATCTTAAAGCTCCAAAATGGTCTCCTTGAACTCCATGTCTCACATCCAGGTCACACTGATGCAAGAGATGGGTTCCCATGGTCTTGGGCAGTGGTGTACTTTTACTTGAGGCAGGTCAAAGGATTACACATGAATATTTCCAGGAACTATCTTTCCTTAAATAAACCATGCATTTTCTGCCAAGGGGAGTGTAAATCGGAACAACATTGATGAAGGATAACTCAGCAACAGTATCAAAATGTGAAGCATGCACTTGACCCACTCATCCATTTTCTAAGAATTTACCCTTAGGGAATAACCACACCAGTGGGGGGAAAAAAAAGAAAAAAAAATGTGAGCACAGAAATGCTTGTCCCAGTACCTTCTGTTGATAATAGAGAAACACTGCCAATAACTAGAATGCAATTGAATAAACTGGCAAACAGTTTCAAAAATGTTTCAGTAAAGTGAGCTATATCTATTTAATGAAATATCATGGATCATTAACATTGACATTTATTAGACCAGGTGCAGTAGTTCATGCTTATAATATCAGCATGTTGGGAGACAGAGGCGGGCAGATCACTTGAACTCAGGAGTTGGAGACCAGCTTGGGCAACATGGTGAAATCCCATCTCTACTAAAAATATGAAAATTAGACAAGTATGGTGGCATGCACCTGCGGTCCCAGCTTTGGGAGGCTGAGGTGGGAGGATTGCTTGAGCACAAGAGGTGGAGGTTGCAGTAAGCTGAGAACATACCACTGCACTCCAGTCTGGGTGACAGAGTGAGACCATGTCTCAAGTAAAAAAAAAAAAGAGAAAGAAAGAAAAAAAGAAAAGAAAAAGAAAAATGAGGCTGGGCATAGTGGCTCATGCCTGTAATCCCAGCACTTTGGGAGGCTGAAGTGGGAAGATCACTTGAGGCCAGGAGTTCAACACCAGCCTGGCCAACATGGTGAAGCCCTATCTCTATTAAAAATACAAAAATTAGCCAGGCGTGGTGGTGCATGCCTGTAGTCCCAGCTACTCAGGACACTGAGGTATGAGAATCACTTATTGCAAGTTGCAATAAGCCAAGACGGCACCACTGCACTCCAGCCTGGGTGATGGAGCAAGACTCTGTCTCAGAAAAAAAACAACCTCCCCTCAAAAAACATCTTACCTATCCCATAAACATATACACCTATATGCTCCCACAAAAATTAAAAATTGAAAACAATGACATTTATACTGTGGCATTTGAATAATGATACTAAAGAATTGTGATTTCAGGCTGGATGCAGTGGCTCACGCCTGTAATCCCAGCACTTTGGGAGACCGAGGCAGGCGGATCACCTAAGATCAGGAGTTCAAGACCAGCCTGGTCAACATGGTGAAACCCTGTCTCTACTAAAAGCACAAAAATTAGCCAGGTGTGGTAGTGGGTACCTGTAATCCCAGCTATTCGGGAGTCTGGGGCAGGAGAATTGCTTGAACTGGGAGGTAGAGGGAGGTTGCAGTGAGCTGGGATCATGCCACTGCACTCCAGCCTGGGCGACAAGAGGGAGACACTGTCTTAAAAAAAAAAAAAAAAGCATTGTGATTTCAGGTAGGATCATGGTCTTGAATTTGTGGGGTTTTTTTGTTTGTTCATTTCATTTTTTGTTTTTTGAGACAGAGTCTTGCTCTTTCACCCAGGCTGGAGTGCAGTGGCACAATCTTGGCTCACTGCAACATCTGCCTCCCGAGTTCAAGCGATTCTCCTGCCTCAGCCTCCCAAGTAGCTGGGATTACAGGCGCTCGCCACCAGGACCAGATGACTCTTATTTTATTTATTTATTTATTTATTTATTTATTTTTAGTAGAGATGGGGTATCACCATGTTGGCCAGGCTGGTCTTGAACTCCTGACCTCAAGTGATCCACCTGCCTCGACCTCCCAAAGTGCTGAGATTACAGGCATGAGCTACTGCGCCTGGCTGAATTTACGTTTTTAAAAGACTCCTTGTTTTTTAGAGATACACAGTGAAATGTGCACAGATGGGGTTTGCTGTAAAATAATAGTGGGGAAAGCAGATTAGTGGTTGCCAGGGGCTGAGAGAGAGAAAATGGGGAGTCCCTGCTTAATGGGTGCAGGGTTTCCTTCGGAGTGATGAAAATGTTCTGGAGCCAGGGAGAGGTGATGGCCGTGCAACACTGTGAATGTACTAAGTGCCTTTAATGGTAAATTCAATGTCGTATGTATTTGCCACAATATTAAAATAGTCATTAACAGGGGGAAATAGTAAGGGCTGAGATGAAATAAGATTGGCCACAATTGAAAATGACTGAAAGCTAAGTGATGAGAACTGAGACCATGTATGTGTGGATTTACATGCATAGAAATGTTAGACGTTTTCTATGATAAAATACTATAAAAAGTGGTGCTATCATCTCACATAGCTCCTCACTGTTTGGTAACCATTTTATTATCTATTGAATGCCCTAAGTATACACAATAAAATTGATTTTTTAATAAAGAGTGGTGCCACAGATGTATACTCATTGGCATGGAATGTCCACAACCTATTGTCAAGTTTAATGAGTCAGTTATAAAACCAAATATTGGACCCTCCCATTGCTATAAAATTCTATATCTAGATTGTCTGTCATACTTTTAGTAAAGGTTTAACAGTCATTATTGCTGGGTTAGTAGATTTGAGATTTGCACGGTCTGTGCTTTTCTTTTTCCATTGAATATTTTCACAAAACATCAAACAGTTTTCTTAAAAGGCAGAAATGTTTGGGGACACGCCTTTTGCTCCCAGCATTCTGACTCAAGGGCCCTAGGTAGTGGCACGTCCCTTACACAAACCACCTGGCTGGCTTGGTGCCTGGGCACACACGCCAATGACAATGCCCTCCACAAGGACCGTCGCCTCACAGAGGAGCTGAGAAGGGCCCAGCTTTATTGCTGGCTACCCCTGTAATGACAACAACCCCAGTGGTGATCCTAGGCAACCCTTTCCCGCACACACTCATCTGTCCTCACAGCGGATGTCAGGTAGGCTAGGATTGGAACTGTCCATTTTAGAGACAAGGCAGCTAGAGCTTGGAGGAGCTGGTGGGCTTGCCCAGGTACCACAGCTAAGTAGCCAAGGAAGCACCCAGCCCCACTGGGGAGTCCAAGCCTTGGCCTGTCTCTTATAAGCCACCTCTCATGGGTGTTATGCTCACCCATGACACTAGACCGCCACTTGGGAGATGAAGACCATTAAGCATTGATCTTACATAGGTAAAAACTCAGACACCTGTGTTAGCACGACAGCCAAGCATCCCTGGCCTCCACTGTACTTCATACAAATGGCAGTGGCTGGAGGGCTAAATATGGTGACTGCCACTGACTGCCCCTTGCTAAGGACTCCACTGCCCCTGCTGGGGTGCCTCTCTGGCTTGGCTCTCTGGAGTCACCTTGAAGTCCCTCATGGCCTCCCACACTCAGTGATATCCTTTGGAAGGACTTGCTCTTCCAAGTTGGCTCTGTGAGGACCCTGAGACTGCTTATCCAAGTGGCCCAGAGGCTCTACACCCAGAGTCTGTGGACCAAAGTGACCACTGTGTCTGGCCAGAGCACCAGCGCCCACTTCTCACGCTCAATCATTCATGGAATCTCTCTCTCCCTCCTTCCCTCCCCAATTCCTACAACAAATAATTCGAGCATGTCTACTCCAAGACAAGCAAGGTGCTAGGCACTGGGCATTCAGTGGCAAGCCAGTTGTCACAATTCCCACCCTTCTCTTGCTATGGATTATCAGGGAAGTCAAACCCTAAACAAATAAGTGTACAGGTGAACCATCAGCGCACCTGGGGTGAGTGCTATGAAGGAGTCATATAGCACTCTTTCCACTACATGGGAAGCATACCTGGGCTGGGGAGTCAGGAGGGTGTCCTGGATAAAATGCACTTAAGAGGCTGGGTGTCATGGCTCACTTTGGGAGGCTGAGGCAGGAGGATCACTTGAGCTCAGAAGTTCAAGACAGCCTGGCCAACATGGTGAAATAAAAAAAAAAAATAGCTGGGTGTGGTGGTAGATGCCTGAATCCTAGCTACTTGGGAGGCTGAGGCAGGAGAATAACTTGAACCCAGGAGGTGGAGGTTGCAGTGAGCCAAGATTATGCCACTGCCCTCCAGCCTGGGTAATAAGAAACTCCATCTCAAAAATAAATACATACATACATACATAAAAATACAAATACAAAAATTAGCCAGGCATGGTGGCAGGTGGCCTCCTACTCAGGAGGCTGAGACAGGAGAATCGCTTAAACTTGGGAGGTGGAGGTTGCAGTGAGCCAAGATTGTGTCACTGCACTCCAGCCTGGGCAACTGAGCAAGACTGTCTCAAAAAAAAAAAAAAAAAGTGTTTAACAGCAGTAGCTGTTCCCTGTGTGATGCGTGACACCTCATAGTAAACGGGGCTCGTGCCAGCTAACAGCCGAGGTGCTGAGGCCAAGAGAGGCAGAGGCCACAGTGGACATCACTCAGCTGAGGAGAGGGAAACCCAGACCTCAGAGTGGCCTCAAAGCCAGGCCTAACCAGTCCCAGGCTTGCCCAGAGCCAGCAGGGCTGCTCCCAGGACAGGTAGGACTTGAGGGCTTCTGTGGCCAGGCCCTGAAGGTGACACCTTCGGCTGAGCTGGCGAAGCATCTCTGTGCACAGGAGTTCTCCATGACACCAAACTGCCTCACTCATGACAAGACCTCCCACAGGCCAGCCTGGCCACCCCGCTTCTGTGCTTAACAGAGACAAGGAAAGATGGGCTCATCTCTGGCTGCAGGTCTTCCACGGTGGGCACAGTACTGAGGCTCAAGAGCCTAATTAAAACGAAAACCCTTGTTCCTCAGGGAGGCTACCGCATTTCGGAGCAGTCAAGTGATTCTGACTGTCTTCCAAAGAAAAATGTAAGGTGGCTGCTGTGGGGGAAGGAAAACCTACCACTCAATCACTAAAACCAGAGCTTACCTATGGGAGTCCCAGCTTGCAGGCTCCATCCCAGGCTCTCCAGGGGCCAGTGCCTGAGGTCGCGGCGAATCGCCAACTCCAGCCTGCAAGGTCAGACCACAACCTGCCCCAGGGGCTTGTCTCTGGCCTGGTTCTCCAGCTTGTGGATGCCTGATGGTGCCCTGTCCCCTTCTCTGTTCTCACCTGGACTAAGGCGGCCTACTGAGCTATAGCCCTGGGTACACCAAACATCTGGGGGCAGGACAGAGTGTTCCTTCTGTGTCTAGGCATTGAGGCCTGTGGATGAGCACAGGCTCCATCCTTTCTGTGGAAGGAGAACTGGCCCCAAGCCGTGGAGAGCAGGGAGATCATGAAACACCAGGTCTTGCCTCTTGCCATACCTGAGCCCAAGCCTGAGCCCTTCCCACCTTCAGGCTCAGTCTGAGTTTCTACAGCCAATACTGATTCAGGTGGAAGCTCTGGACCAGTGTTTCTCAAACCATCTGCAGTGGAACTCATGTTGCAAACAGGATGCCTTCACCAGAGAACACTGGCCACAGAACAAGGGAAGCAAGCCAGGCTAACAGATGAAGCCAGCCTGGAGCCCACCCATTGGCGCCCCCACTGGTGGGTGGCCTCATAGAGGAGTACAGTAGCTCACACCAGCCTGAGGCTTTGGAACCACATGGACGCCTTGGGCTGCTGGTGCCACTGTGTTCAGGTGTGCCATATGTGGACAGGGGCCGCCACTGTGCTGCTGAGAGCCAGCCTCCACTAAACTCAGCCCTTCCTATGCTCCCCAGGCCTCCCCAACACCCCAGGCTGCCCCTCCGAAGCCTCTGGAAGCTTCCATGATTCCTGCCTGTGCTTTCAGCAACTTGTCTTGTCTTCCAAGGTTTCTCTTCCACAATCTGTGGTTGTCATGTCTGCTTGACAGACTGGCCTCCCTCCAGAGGAGGTTCTGAGCCCACCATGATTCCTTGGCCTGGGCTGGATACAGGTGAGGGGCAGGCTTGGCACACATGGAGTCCAAACAAGTTTCGCCTGCCCTCCTGCCGATGGGAGGGAACTAGAGGTGGTCACCAAAGGCTCCTTGGAAGAGACCAAGTGTCAGGAAGATCCAGCAATGGGGACAGGATTTAAGGCTTCCTTGCAACACACACTTTGGTGGCTCCTCAGGCATGACCTTGCCCTGCTCTGATCATGCTTGATTAGGCCAGGGCAGGGAACCTGCTCTGAGCTGCACCAGAGCCTCTCATTCAAGAATTTGAAGCTAGAGCCAGAGATTGCAGCCACTAGGCCAGGCACAGCCAGGGCAGGCCAGGCCCACCTGCAGAACAAAACTATGGAGGAACAAAGAAGCCAGGCTACAGAGGGAAAGGACACAGAGGGGACACCGGGAGAGAACCAGCAATGGGTTGTCAGAGAGAGCAGCTACAAACGCACCCCTCCCCTGGACGCTCCACTTCCTGCACGCTGAGCATAGTCCCCACTTGTGCTTCAGCCAGTCTCACCGGGGTTTTTTCCCTGCCACCAATTGACCCTGGATAGAAAACCATGAAAAAATAATTTTTTAAAAATGAATTAGTAAAACAGATCCCTGTTTGTATTAGTCTATTCTCATGCTGCTAATAAGAACATACCCGAGACTGGGTAATTTCTGGGTTTTTTTGGTTTTTTTCTTTTTTGAGATGGAGTTTCACTCTTGTTACCCAGGCTGGAGTGCAATGGCACGATCTCGGCTCACTGCAACCTTTGCCTCCTAGGTTCAAGCAATTCTCCTGCCTTAGCCTCCCGAGTAGCTGGGACTTCAGGCGCGTCCCACCATGCCCAGCTAATTTTTGTATTTTTAGTAGAGACGGGGTTTCACCATGTTGACCAGGATGGTCTCAATCTCTTGACCTCGTGATCCACCAGTGTTGGAGACTGGATAATTTCTAAAGGCAAGAGGTTTAATGGACTCACAGTTCCACATGGCTGGAGAGACCTCACAATCACGGTGGAAGGCTGCCAGCAGCACAGTGGCTCACGCCAGTAATCCCAGCACTTTGGGAGGCCGAGGCAGGCAGATCACTTGAGGTCAGGAGTTTGAGACCAGCCTGGCCAACATGGTGAAATCCCGTTTCTACTAAAAATACAAAAATTAGGCAGGCATGGTGACACCTGCCTGAAATCCCAGCTACCTGGGAGGCTGAGGCACGAGAATTGCTTGACCTGGGAGGCGGAGGTTGCAGTGAGCCGAGATCTCACCACTGCACTCCAGCCTGGACAACAGAGTGTGACCCCATCTCAAAAAAAAAAAAAAAAATCATGGTGGAAGGGGAATGAGGAACAAAGTCACATCTTACATGGCAGCAGGCAAGAGAGCATGAGCAGGGGAACTCCCCTTTATAAACCATCAGATCTTGTGAGACTTATTTACTACCATGAGAACAGTATGCAGGAAACCACCCCATGATTCAATTATCTCCACCTGGCCCTGCCCTTGATACATGGGGATTATTACAATTCAAGGTGAGATTTGGGTGGGACACAGCCAAACCATATCACTGTCCATGAAGGCGTATCCAGTGTAGGTAGAAGACACCCCATACATATGAGACCATCACACACAGATCTATTGTCAGCTGAGGACCTGAGCTGAAGAGCCTGGAATGGTAGTGATGACGACTGGCATTTGGAAGCTGCTCCGTGTGCTTCCCTCTCACCTAGACCTGTCGTGTATTATTTATTTATTTTTTTTTTTTGAGATGGAGTCTCGCTCTGTTGCCCAGGCTGGAATGCAGTGGCACAATCTCTGCTCACCCAATCTCTGCTTCCCGAGTTCAAGTGATTCTCCTGCCTCAGCCTCCGGAGTACCTGGGACCACAGACCTGCATCATAGACCCAGCTAATGTTTGTATTTTTAGTAGAGACAGGGTTTTGCCCTGTTGGCTAGGCTGGTCTCTAACTCCTGACCTCAGGTGATCCACCTACCTTAGCCTCCCAGGGTGCTGGGAATTCAGGTGTGAGCCACTGTACCCACCTAATTTAAAAATATTATTGTTATTTACCTTCACAACCATCTCATGATGCAGACATTACTCATCCCTGTGATAGGCAAAGAAATTGTAGCTCAGAGAGGTAGAGGGCCTTGTTCAAAGTCACACAGTGACTCAAGGGCAAAGCCAGGATCCCAAATTTTGTGTCCGCTTTACTAAGCCATACTTGTTCATAACACCAGGCATGGTTCTGTGATTTAGCAAAATGACTGAGAGGCCCCCTCAGAGCCCAGACTTCCAGTTCCACAGCCCAGAATACTCAGCCTTTCCAAACTGTTCAAGTGAAATGCAGTGGGTACCCAGGGAAATGTCACAGTCCTGCCAGCCTCAGGTTTAGGTCAGGCATCTGGGCTGGCCCCCCAGATCCTCCGCCTCTGGAATTAGTGACATCCTGACTTGACAGCCTTGCCTGCATCAGAGTCTGGTTCTCATGCCTACAGATCCATGAGAAGGTTAGCAACAAAGAATAAACTTCTCCAATCTGATAATTACAAAGGAAAGTACTATTATGCCCTCTAGTTACAAAGGAAACAATTAGAAATCCAGGTAATTGCCCTGGCAGAAAAATGATGCTTAAACTACCTTAATGGCAAAAATGTTTTTGTTGTTGTTTTTTTGAGATGAAGTTTCACGCTTGTCCCCCAGGCTGCAGTGTAATATCATGATCTTGATCTCTGCTCACTGCAACCTCCACCTCCCAGGTTCAAGCGATTCTCCCACCTCAGCCCCCCGAGTTGCTGGGACTACAGGCACATGACACTACGCCCAACTCATTTTTGTATTTTTAGTAGAGACGGGGTTTCACCATGTTGGTCAGGCTGGTTTCAAACTCCTGACCTCAAGTGATCCGCCTGCCTCGGCCTCCCAAAGTGCTGGGATTACAGGCCTGAGCCACCGTGCCCAGCTGCAAGAATGTTTTAAACTATAGACAACCACTTTTATTATGCTCTGACCTCTTCATAAGAAGAACCCCCACCCCCAGAGGCATATTTCATAAGGCCTACTTTTCTACTGAAATAAGGTGGCGACTTCTGGGCTTGCTCCTCAGCTTGGTTGGCAGGCTAAAGTCCCATGAGGAGGCGCTCAGAACAAACGCTGTCACCCTCAGTGTGAAAATCCAACTCAGTTTCTCTGAGAACAGAACATCAATCTCCTCTGAGCTCTGCACGTGCATTCAAACTCACCAGTGACCCATTTACCCTGAGCCTCTTTCAGTTAGCACTGATTTATACAGGTCTCTCGGGGGTAAGCCATAGTCATCTGCATGGGTCATAGGTCATGTCTAAATCCAAATTGTTCACGCTTCCTGAAGAACAAGACCATCATTTTCCTATGTTGCTTTCTAGTGGCTCTTCCTCCTCCTAATGTGGATACCTGGGAACTGACTGTGCTCCCATTAGCAAATCCCCAACCCACACCCCTGGGCCTTTACACTGCAGGGCCCCTGCTGAGGCAAGTGTCAGAACACCCAGCCCTCCTTCCTTGAGAAGGGCCCAGATCCTCTCCCAGCTGAGAGCTGTTAACCTCTCTTTGGTTTCTCAAAACTAAACAGAGCCCAGCTTGGCTGCTGGAAGTACATGCTCAGCCCCTTTCTCAGCCCTCTGCATTCCCTTTTCTTTTTCTTTTTTTTTTTTTTTTTGAGATAGAGTCTTGCTCTGTCACCAAGCTGGAGTGCAGTAGCGCAATCTTGGCTCACTGCAACCTCTGCCTTCCAGGTTCAAGCAATTCTCCTGCCTCAGCCTCCTGAGTAGCTGGGATTACAGGTGCGTGCCACCAAGCCTAGCTAATTTTTTTTGTATTTTCAGTAGTGATGGAGTTTCACTGTGTTGGTTAGGCTGGTCTCGAACTCCTGACCTTGTGATCTGTCTGTCTCAGCCTCCCAAAGTACTGGGATTACAGGCGTGAGCCAGCAGGCCCAGCCTGCATTCCCTTTTCTACTTCCTGCAAACTCAGGGAGAGCACTGGCTCATTTAAATAAACTTCATTCGAACCCACCATTCATTTGTTAGATGTGATCATCGTACTTCGGTTATGTTAAAAAAAAAAAAAAAGAATTCTGATCTTTTATTTATTTTTTTATATTTTAGATATTTGAAATACAACTTTATTGGCCGGGTGCGGTGGCTCACACCTGTAATCCCAGCACTTTGGGAGGCCGAGGTGAGTGGATCACCTGAGGTCAGGAGTTCAAGACCAGCCTGGCCATTGTGGTGAAACCCCATCTTTAAAAAAAAAATACAACTTTATTCTGATTCTAAACGAAAAATATGGGAATGATAGTGACCAACAAGATTTTACCACTGAAGGTTGTGATGTGACTGCAGCAGTCTTACATTCGAAACTCCAGGAATCAACTGCGTTCCTAAACAGCTAAATATGCAGGTCTGAACAGTGAAGGTATATTTAAAACTGCCACGTTCACTCCGAAGCCCACTCATCTCCTTCAGCACCCCACAGATGAAGCACATGTGATGCTTAGCTAGATAATAATGCACACACGCTGCACCACTGACATCACAGGACAGCTGCCTATCAAACTAGACGTCTGACGCTGGGCTCCAGCTTCCTTCTCACTGGTCATCATCCTCATCTGGGAGAGCAGTTGCCTGAGCAACCTCTAAGTCGTGCTCATCCTGTGCTGCCAAAGCTGGGCACATGACAACCTCTGGTGGGGCAAGAGCAGGCATGGCAACAAATCCAAGTTAGGATCTGCAGTGAGCTTCCCAGGAAGCCAGAGGAAGGGCTTTTCAAAGGTGCAGTTACTTTTGGCAGAAGTGTCGTGGTACTGAAGATTCTTCTTTCGGTGGAAGACAATGGATTTTGCCTTCACTTTCCTGTCCTTAATGTCCACTTTGTTGCCACATAACACGACAGGGATGTTCTCACACAGATCTCTATGCCAGGTAGGCACATTCTTGTAAGTAGCTCTCGATGTCACACCAAACATTATGAGGGCACACTGGGCATGGATATAATCGCCATCTCCCAGTCCACCGAACTCCCCCTGGTGGCTGTGTCCACACATTGAACTTAAGAGTCCTCTGCTGGTGCGGAACACTAGGGGATAAGCCTCAACATCCAAGCTGGCTACGTCTCAAATTCACCAGTCAAAGGACGTCTCACGGAGGTCGTTTTCCCAGTACCACCATCACCAGCCAATACAAATTTGAACTGGATCTGGGGCTCTCTCCCTGCACAGCCATCACGGCATTCCTTCCAGAAGCATCCCTATACCCATCCAGCTCGGAATTCTGATCTTTTAAAGATACATCCAGACATGTTAACAAATGGGATGCTACAACCTGTGCAACGGGCTTCAGAATGATACAGATAACAGAGGAAGAAGCTGGGGGCATAGAGACAAGACTGGCCATGAGCTGGTAACTGTGGCATCTGGGTGACAGGAATGTGCTGGTTCCTGAGAGTCTTCTGTTTACTTCTGTTTATTTTGTATAACAACAACAATTTTTTTTTTTTAGGTGGAGTCTCGCTCTGTCACCCAGGGCTAGAGTGTGCAGTGGTGTGATCTTGGCTCACTACAACCTCTGCCTCCCAGGTTCAGGTGGTTCTCCTGCCTCAGCCTCCCAAGTAGCTGGGATTACAGGTGTGTGCTCCCACACTTGGCTAATTTTTGTACTTTTAGTAGAGATGGGATTTCACCATATTGGTCAGGCTGGTCTCGAACTGCTGACCTCGTGATCTGCCCACCTCAGCCTCCCAAAGTGCTGGGATTACAGACATGAGCCACCGTGCCCACCCACAATTTTTTTTTTGAGAGAGAGAAAAGTGTGTGTGTGTGTCTTGCTCTGTTGCCCAGGCTGGAGTGCAGTGGCGTGACCTTGGCTCACTGCAACCTTTGCCTCCCAGGTCCAAGAAATTCTCCTGGCTCAGCCTCCAGAGTAGCTGAGATTATAGCCACCACACCTGGCTAATTTTGTTGTTGTTGCTGTATTTTTGTAGAGATGGGGTTTCATCATGTTGGCCAGGCTGACAATAACAGGTTAAAAATTTTTTTTCATTCCATCCCAGAGATTTCCTTGGACCATACTTAAGCCCAGCTGTTTTGAGGTTTTTACCTGCACCTCTGTCAATCAACACGTTTACACAGCAGCAATTATGTCCAAGGTGCTGCTGAAGCTGCAAAGAGCAACCACCTGGCCCTCTGAATGCACCTCTATCCCTGACCTGCAGAGTCCTGTCCTCTATTTTACCACAGTCCCCCAAACCCTCATTTCCCAGACTGGGCACTGGTTTTCCTCTCTCCCAAAACCAAGATGGGCAGTCAGGGACTATCCTTCCTGGCCCTGTGGAAGAGACTGAGTCCAGCTTCCTGTCCCGCATCATGGAGGGGAAACACGGACTTCCTTGCTCCTCCTTCAATCTCACTGGATGAAATGGCCCAGGTGTGAGTCAGGGCAGAGAGGAGTTTGAAGGGAAGAGAGTCTGACCATCTGCTTTTTGGAAGGTTTAGGTGAGGTCAACCCCTCCGTTCTGCAACCAGAAGACCAAGGCCTGAGGGCCGGGACACGTCCTGCTTTCCACTGGACCAGGAGCATGGAGGGAAGCGCAGGCACTCCACGGGCTCCAGGCCTGAATGTCTGGACACTGCTAAATGCAAAGAACTCAAAAGTTCAAGAGCGCACAGGCAAGATGGCAACTAAAAACCCTGTGAACTAGCATAGATATATTTATTCATTCAAAAAGCGATGTGGCTTTACTGGGAAAGCCTAAATTCACAGCCAACCAGGAAGGAATGTGCACCTTGAGCTGCTGAGTGATGGAGGAGCCATGGCTGCCCTCTCGAGTACCATTCAGTGTTCATTCCAGGGCCACCAGAGAAACAGAAGCAATCCCTTCCATGAGCAACGCCATTCACCACTATGTTTGTTGTTTGTAGAGACAGGGTCTTGCTCTGTCACCCAGGCTGGAGTGCAGTAGCATGATCATGGCTCACTGTAGCCTTGACCTCCTGGGCTCAAACTCTCCTCCCACCTCAGCCTCTCTAGTAGGTAGGACTACAGGTGCATGCCACCATACCCAGCTATTGTATTTTGGAGAGTTGGGGTCTTGCTATGTTGCCCAGGCTGCTCTCCACTCCTGGCCTCAAGTTATCCTCCCTCCACAGCCTCCCAAAATACTGAGATTACAGGCATGAGCTGCCATGCCTGACTCCACTATCAGTTTTAATGACCAGTAATTCATGCTCATATCCTATTTTCTCAGTTCAGGTGAGAACCATGAAGAGAAGATCTCGATGAAGAAAGGATGGAGCACTCCTAATTTAGCCAAAAGCCATTTTCTTAGGTAGAGAGAGGGGCTGCACCTAGACCTAAAAGGCAGGGGCCAAACACTTAGATACAATGCACTTGATGAACAACAGGGCCCTGCACCATCGCTTTGTCTCCTTGGATCCCGCACATTAAATAAATATGTGGAATAAAGCCTAACTCAACCCCCCTCCAAGAAAAATATGGAATTTGGAAAAGGGGGAAGACAGCCAGCAGCAATAAGCAATCCAGGGAGTCGACAGAGCAGACTGTGCTCAAAGTGGGAAGCTTGGAGGGCTGGCAGGAGCCCTGTGTGGAATGTTTACCATAAAAATGGGGACGGCCAGGCACAGCTCACGCCTATAATTCCGGTACTTTGGGAAGCTGAGGTGGGCGGATCACTTGCAGTCAAGGGTTCAAGACCAGCCTGGCCAACATGGAGAAACCCCATCTCTACTAAAATACAAAATTAGCTGGGCATGGTGGCGCATGCCTGTAATCCCAGCTACTCCGGAAGCTGAGGTAGCAGAATCGCTTGAACCTGGGAGGCAGAGGTTGTGGTGAGCTGAGATTGCACCATTGCACTCCAGCCTAAGTGACTAGAGTGAAATTCCATGACAAAAATCAAAAATTTAAAATTAAAAAAAAAAGGGGGGAAAGGCGGGGAGTGGTGGCTCACACCTGTAATCCCAGTACTTTGGGAGGCTGAGGTGGGCAGATCACTTGCAGTCAAGATCACAGCCTGGGCAACAAAGCGAGACTTTGTCTCAAAAATAAACAAACAGGCCGGGCACGGTGACTCATGCCTGTAATCCAATGGAGGCCAAGGCAGGTGGATCACCTGAGGTGGCGAGTTCAAGACCAGCCTGACCAACATGGTGAAACACTGTCTTTAAAAAAAAAAAAAGTAAAATAAATAAACGAACAAAAAATAAAAAATAAAAATGGGAGAGGGCCAGGTGGCTCACACCTGTAATCCTAGCACTTTGGGAGGCCGAGGCAGGAAAACTGCCTGAGCCCAGGAGTTTGAGACCAGCCTGGGTAACATGGTGAGGCCCTGTCTCTATATTTAAAAAAATTAAATTAAATTAAAACAAAAATTAAAATGGGGGTTCCTGGGTGGCATATGACCATCAGATCTAAATCTCAGTGGTCCTGCCCTAGGAGTTTGCAGTTTTAACATGCTTCCCAGGAAGACTTCATGTCTGTCAGAGTAAGAGAGAAGTTATTCAGCGTTTTCTTTCGTTGTGTTGTTTAATCCATACCAGTTAAATTTTCCCTCAGTGAGTTCATAAGAGATCTCTTTATACCCTCTGACCAGCAGGAAGGATGGGGCTTCTCTCCTCCTCCGTACCGAGGAGTCTGCGGGTCAATAGCTTGAATGCACCTGTATTTTCCCTTTGTCTGAGGAGGGCATACCCCTGTTCCCATCCAGCTTCTTAGGGAGTGAGGACAGAGGCCGTGGCCACAGCAGAACCTGGATTAGTACCTGCAGGCATCCTCCAAGCACTAAGGAACGACTCTGCCAACAAGTAAGAAACACTGGGCTTCGGGAAGCCATTCCTTCAAACACAAAGAGAGGACTGCTGAGTGGACCAAGGCTACTTGTGTCCCCAGGCACACAGGCAGCAGGTTTCCTGAGAGCTGTTTCCAGAGCCAGAACAACTCCACACTCCCTGGGAATTTATTTTCACCTCAGTGGGATCATGGCCGACAGGAACAGGAGGAAAGTCTTCCAAGTCCTACCTTATAGAGGATTTTCATTTTGGAGCAATAGGATGGCAGGCTGTCCAGGTGTTCTTTAGGGTCAGCCTCTAGGCCCACCAGCCACCCAACTGCCTCCTCACCTCCCCACTCCCCACTCAACTGCCTGCCTTAGTTGCTCTAAGGGCAGAACCTGGGCTGCCTGGGATAATTCCAAGTGCTGGGCTGTGATATCAGAATAGAATTATGACATCAGTGGAGGACAGGTGAGCCCTGCAGTGGGGTGGAGGGGAAGCGAGGACAGGGGAGCCCCTGAGGAGCTAGGCTAGCCACCCAAGAAGTGAAGGCCCAAGACAGAGGTGGTCAGCTCTGTATCGGCTTCTTACAGCCTCCCAGAGTCGTCTGGGAGGTCGACCTGAACATCTGAAAATGATTCACAGCTACTGAGAGATAATGTTGCAAGCCAGCCAATCTGCTAATGCTTTCCTAGACACTGAGTTACGGAAGACAAAGCGAACAAGCCATCTTCTAGCGCCCCCCTGTGTCAAGTAAAAGGATACTCTCTCTTTTCTGACTTGGAGGTCTGCCTTTAGACCAGGGAGTTGGGAGCAGAGCCCCCAAGTGGGCTGGGTGTCAAGGTCCCCCAGGATAGGGTTAAATGCTGGTAGATAAAATGCAGGATACCCAGTTACCTTTAAATTTCAGATACACAATAAAATTTTAGTATAAAGACTGCCCAAATATTGAGACATCCTTATCCTATAACATTATTTGTTTTGTATTTGAAGCTCAAATTAAATCTGTGGTTTTTTTTGTTTGTTTGTTTTGGTCACTCTGTTGCCCAGCTTGGAGAGTAATGGCACAATCTTGGCTCACTGCAACCTCCACCTCCTGGGTTCAAGCAATTCTCCTGCCTCAGCCTCCCAAGTAGCTGGGATTAGAGGCATACACCACCATGTCCAGCTAATTTTTGCATTTTTAGTAGAAATGGGTTTCACCATGTTGGCCAGGTTGATCTCGAACTCCTGACCTCAACGGATCTGCCTGCCTCAGCCTCCCAAACTACTGGGATTACAGGTGTTAGTCACTGCGCTCGGCCAACCTCTGTTTTTCTTTGTTGAATCTGCCAATCCCACTCAAGGAGCCTTTGAAAAAATATGCAAGTACTCCCTGCTCCCAAAAGTCATTCTCATTCTGTTTCAGCAGCGCAGAGGACTTGGGAACCTGTAAAAGGTTCATTTTAAAGCTGCAAAAGTGACTGTCAATAGCTGCAGCTTGCTTTAGCCAAGCATTTGCCAAGCTGTGTGCCAAGATCACTTTACGAATTATCTAAACTAATCCTCACAGCACCTCTAAGAGTTGGTTCTAACATGAAATTCATTTTACAAAGGAGAGAAATGAGGCAAAAGACGGCAAGCAACTTGTCCAAGGTCACACAGTGGGTAAGTGTGGAAGCCATGATTTGAACCCAGGCAGGCTGGCTACAGCATCTCTGCTCCTACTGGCTTAGATATCTTTGATGGGAAGGACCCTGGGAAGCACAGAATTGAAACTTCTAGTGGACTGACAAACGGGGACTCTCAGGCTCTAGGAAACCCATGCTCAGGCTAACTGCTACGCCACCATGCTGGGGGCGCTGAGCCAAGGAGCAGACATGTGGGAGCAAACATCTGGCCCAGGCAGGCGGCTCAGGGAAGGCTTTCCTGACTGGCCTCTCCCTGGAGGGTAAACAGACTTAAGGAAAGTAAGGTGTGGGAAGGGGCCGGATGCTAAGGGAAGAAACTTTGCCAACAAGAGTTATAGCATTCATGCTGGCTGGCAGCAAGATGGTGTGCCAGTGAAGAGAGCAGAAACTGGATGGGTCTAGAGGCCAAGAGGCAGCTAGAGAAGAGATACAAATCAAAACTGCATTTTATTTTTTATTTTTTGAGATGGAGTCTAACTTTGTCACCCAGGCTGGAGTGCAGTGGTATAATCTCAGCACACTGCAACCTCAGCTTCCCAGGTTCAAATGATTGTCTCCTAACTCGCCTCCCAAGTAGCTGGGACTACAGGTGTATACCACCATGCCTGGCTAACTTGTATTTTTGGTAGAGATGGGGTTTCACCATATCACCCACGCTGGTCTTGAACTCCTGGGCTCAACTGATCCACCTGCCTCAGCCTTCCAAACTTCTGGGATTACAGGTAAAAGTATTATAGCTGTATGGTTTACATTTTGAGTTAATTTTTACGATAAATAAGAAGTATAAATCAAGATTCATTTTACTGCATATGGATGTCCAATTGTTCTAATACTAGTTGTTGTAAAGACCATCTTGGCCGGGCGTGGTGGCTCACGCCTATAATCCCAGCACTTTGGGATGCTGAGGTGGGTGGATCACGAGGTCAAGAGATTGAGACCATCCTGGTCAACAAGGTGAAACCCCGTCTCTACTAAAAATACAAAAATTAGCTGGGCATGGTGTTGCGCGCCTGTAGTCCCAGCTACTTGGGGGGCTGAGGCAGGAGAATTGCTTGAACCCAGGAGGCGGAGGTTGTGGTGAGCCGAGATCGTGCCATTGCCCTCCAGCCTGGGTAACAACAGCGAAACTCCATTTCAAAAAAAAAAAAGAAAAGACTATCTTTTATCAATTAAATTGTTTCTGCACCTCTGTCAAAAGTCATCTGACTATATTTGTGTGGGCCCATTTTTGGACTCTCTATTCTGTTCCGTTATTGCATGTGTCTATCTAATTAATCTATATAGCGTTTGCCTGCATCACACTGTTGTTTCCTTATGATAAGTCTTAAAATTGGGTAATCGCTCCAAGTTTGTTCTTCTTTTTCAAAGTTGCTTTAGCTATTTGAATTTCTTTATATTTTCATTTAAATTTATAATAAGCTTGTCTATACTGAGAAAATGTCCAGCTGGGATTTTTATTGAAATTGCATTAAAGCTACTGATCAGTCAAAGGAGAACTGACGTCTTCATTCTCTTGAATCTTCTGACCCATGAGCATTGTATGTCTCTCCATTTATTTTGGTCTTCTATGTATTTAATGCTATTTATACAGATACTATATTTGTTTTGTTGTAATTATATCTAAATATTTCATGGGGTCATTGTAAATGATGTTTTAAAATCCGCCATATTATCCAGGCTGGAATCAAACTCCTAGGCTCAAGTGATCCACCCTCTCAGCCTCCCAATCTGCCAGGATTATAGGTAGAAGTATGAGAGTTGCATGATTTACATTTAGAGTTAATTTTTTCTCTTTTTTTGTTTTTTTGAGATGGAGTCTCGCTCTGTTGCCCAGGCTGGAGTGCAATAGTGTGATCTTGGCTCACTGCAACATCCGCCTCCAGGTTCAAGCGATTCTCCTGTCTTGGCCTGGAATTATGGGCATGCGCCTGTATTTTTAGTAAAGATGGGGTTTCACCATGTTGGCCAGGTTGGTCTTCAACTCCTATCCACAGGAGATCTGCCCACCTCAGCCTCTCGAAGTGCTGGGATTACGGATGTGAGCCATCACACCCAGCCTGAGTTAATTTTTATATAAATATTTCTGTGCTAGTATACAGAAATATGATTGGCCTTTATGTACTGACATTGCTTATATTTGTGTAGATTTCTTGGGATTTTTCTATACAGCCATCATGTCACTTGCAAACAGGATAGCTTTGTTTCTTTCTTCCCAATCTGAGTGCCTTTGACTTCTTTTTTCTTGCTTTATAATACTGGCCAGGACTTCCAGCATAAAGAATAATATGAGTGAGAAACATGGACATCCTTGACTTTACTGATCCTAGGGGGAAAGCAAAGCGTTTAGTCTTCTAGCACTACATAGGATGTCAGTTTCTTGAAGATGCCCTTAATCAGGTGGAGGAACTTCCTAGTTTGCTGAGAGTTTTATTTTTTTTTCCATGAATGATGTTAAATTTTGTCAAATGCCTTTTTCTGTATCAATTGATATTATAATAAGTTTTTCTTAGATTGTTAATATGTGATTCCATCTATTGATTTTCTTTCTTTTTTTGAGACAGTCTTGCTCTGTTGCTTAGGCTGGAGTGCAGTGGTGCAATCTCGACTCACTGCAACCTCTGCCCCCACAAGGTTCAAGCAGTTCTCCTGACTCAGCCTCCCAAGTAGCTGGGACTACAGCGTGCACCACCATGCCTGGCTAATTTTTTTTTTGAGACAAAGTCTTGCTCTGTTGCCAGGCACCAGGCTGGAGTGCAGTGGCGCAGTCTTGGCTCACTGCAACCTCTGCCTCCTGCGTTCAAGCAATTCTCCTGCCTCAGCCTCCCAAGTAGCTGGGACTACAGGCGTGCACCACCACGCCCAGCTAATTTTTTTCGATTTTTAGTAGAGACAGGGTTTTACCATGTTGGCCAAGCTGCTCTTGAACTCCTGACCTCAAGTGATCTGCCTGTCTTGGCCTCTCAAAGTGCTGGGATTACAGGTGTGAGCCACTGTGCCCAGCCCCATTTACTGATTTTCAAATATGGAATCTACCTTGCACTCCTAGCATGAAATCCACTTGATCATGGTGTATTACTCTGTTGTACTGCCGGGTTCAAATTGTTAACACTTTGTTGAAGATGTTTTCATCTATGCTCATGAGAAATATCAGTCCGAAGTTTTCTTTTCTTGTACTATCTTTGTTCAGTTTAGTATCAGGGTATGCTGTCCTCATAAATTAGAAATTACTCGCTTCTAGGCTGGGCGTGGTGGCTCACGCCGGTAATCCTAGCACTTTGGAAGCCTGAGGCGGCTGAATCACCTGAAGTCAGGAATTTGAGACCAGCCTGACCAACATGGAGAAAGCTGACCTCTACTAAATATACAAAATTAGCCGGGCATGGTGGCATATGCCTGTAATCCCAGCTACCCAGGAGGCTGAGTCAGGAGAATCCTGGGTTTAACAGGAGACAGAGGTTGTAGTGTGCCAACATCATGCCATTGCACTCCTGCCTGGGCAACAAGAACAAAACTCCATCTCAAAAAAAGAAAGAAAAAAAAAATAAAAGAAATTACTCACTCCTGCTGGCCAGGCCTGGTGGCTTGTGCCTATAATCCTAGCACTTTGGGAGGCCAAGGCGGGCGGATCATAAGCTCAGGAGTTCGAGGTCAGCCTGGCCAATGTAGTGAAAACCTGTCTCTACTAAAAATACAAAAAAAAAAAAAAAAAAATTAGCCAGGTGTGGCAGTGTGCACCTGTAATCCCAGCTACTCGGGAGGCTGAGGCAGGAGAATCACTTGAACCTGGGAGGTGGAGTTTGCAGTGAGCTGAGATAATGCCATTGCACTCTAGCCTGGGCAACAGTACAAGACTCCGTCTCTTAAAAAAAAAAAAAAAAAAAAAAGGCCAGGTGCACGCCTGTAATTCCAGCACTTTAGGGGCCCAAGGCAAGAGGATCACCTGAGGTCAGGAGTTTGAGGCTAGCCTGGCCAACATAGTGAAACCCTGTCTCTACTAAAAATACAAAAAAAAAAAAAAAAAAAAAAAAAAAGTTGGGCGTGGTAGCAGGTGCCTGTAATCCCAGCTACTTGGGATGCTAAGGCAGGAGATTGCTTGAACCCAGGAAGTGGAGGTTGCAGTGAGCCAATATCTTGCCACTATACTCCAGCCTGGGTGACAGAGTGAGACTCCATCTCAAAAAAAAGAAAAAGAAAAAAAATTACTACTTTTCTGTTTTCTGGAAGAGATTTTGTGGAAATAGTGTTATTCTTTTTTCAAATATGTGATAAAATTTACTTGTGAAATCATGTAGGCCTCAAGACTTTTTTTTGAAGTCTTTCAAACTAATATATTTAATAGTTTTATTATAGGATTTATTTAAATAGTTTTATTTATAGGATTATTCAGGTTATGGATTTGATCTTGGGTAAGTTTTAGAATTTGACTTCTGAGGAATTGGTTCATTTCATCCAAATTGTCAGATTTGTCAGCAGAGTTGTCTGTAGCATTTTATGTATCATTTATCTATTTTATGTTTTTATAGTTATCCTTTTATGTTTGTTTGTGCTATTGATTATTTCATTCCTGATGTTGGCAATTTCATATTTTCAATTTAGCAGTCTATCAGCTAAGTTGGGTTAAGGCCACACATAGTGACCAGCCTTCTCTGGATGGTGGTTTCACTGTTAGTTCCATTTTCAAAGCCTTTGCAGTACTATTTGTTTTTGTTTTTGAGACAGAGTCTTGCTCTATCACCCTGGCTGGAGTGCAGTGGTGCGATCTTGGCTCACTGCAAGCTCTGCCTCCCAGGTTCAAGTGATTCTCCTGTCTAAGGCCCCTGAGTAGCCGGGATTACAGGTGCGCACCACCATGCCTGGCTAATTCTTCTGTATTTTAGTAGAGATGAGGTTTTACCATGTTGGTCAGGCTGGTCTCGAACTCCTGACCTCAAGCGATCCACCCACCTTAACCTTCCAAAGTGCCAGGTTACACCGCACCTGGCCCTTTGCCTTACGATATGGATCTGTCCCACATGTGTGCCATCCAGTGCCACAGGGACATGGATATCCACGTAGCTTTAAGTTCAGGTCTCAAAATCTTTTGTATGTTGTTTAGGATCAGATCCATCCATGTGCAGCGTGGACATGAAGCCAGGAATTCATGAAAATGACGTAATGGGGTCACTCTCCCAAGGTCCTCTCTCTGAGATCTGGTTTGTTCTGGCTCCCTTGGGCTCTCTGTTTCAGTCCTCTGGCTGTCTACTTCCCACCACTGCACCTGTATCGTGGGCTAAGGAGTGGGAAGAGTGAGAGACAAATGCAACAGGGGTTCCCTCACCTCTGGGGACCAGAGCTCTTCCTACTGGCATGGATGAATTCCTCTGAGGTTTTGGCACCTGCAGGCCCCTTGTCACCACTGCTGTCATTGCCAGGAGACCCCTTCCTTCTTGAGCCTGAACTAGAGGGCTTCTCCAGGTATTTTCTCTGTCTGCTCACTTCTGGGTCTCCCCCGAGTTCACTCCAGAAGATACTGGAGGGAAAACATTGTAAACTCGCCACCCGTTTGGTGTTACCTCAGAATCTGGTTTTCTCCAACCTACTTGTGGCTACTTAATTTTCAGGGTGCTCAAATAGTTGCTCTGTGCATTCTGTCCACATTTTTCATTTAATTTAATTTTAATTTTTTTTTTAAGAGACGGAGTTTCACCATGTTGGCCAGGTTGGTCTCGATCTCCTGACCTCATGATCCACCTGCCTCAACCTCCCAAAGTGCTGGGATTACAGGTGTAAGCCACCACATCTAGCTAATTTTTGTATTTTTAGTGGAGACAAAGTTTCACCATGTTGGCCAGGCTAGTCTCAAACTCCTGGCCTCAAGTGATCTGCCCACCTTGAACTTCCAAAGTGCTGAGATTACAGGCATGAGCCATGACGCCCAGTTCTGTACATGTTTTCTAGCTGCAGAGTGAAACCTTCTCACTTCATCCTATGTGGAAGTGAAACTGAGCAGAACTGCGTTTTAAAAAGACTCCCTCTTGCTGTTGTTGGAGTCCAGAATCTGGGAGGCCAGGTAGTGAAACTGGGTTGGAGGCCAGGTAGAAGGAGGGCAGCGGGCAGATGTGAAAGTGCTCAGGTCTGGCGCTGACAGGATCTGCTCACAAGCTGCAGGGAGGGGTAAGTGAGGGTAGGACTCAAGGTGACACCCAGATTCACTTCCTGGTCAACTGCCAGTTCTGGAAGGTGTCCTGAGATTTTGACTAGGACAATTTCAAAGTAGTGAGTGGTGGGTCATATGTAGTAGGAAGAAGCCAGGAGAGAGTGATAAGGCCAGGCATGGTGGCTCACACCTGTAAACCCAGCACTTTGGAAGGCCAAGGATCACCTGAGGTCAGGAGTTTGAGGCCAGCCTAGCCAACATGGTGGAACCCTGTCTCTACTAAAAATACAAAAAGTATTGGGCATACACGCCTGTATACCCAGCTACTTGGGAGGCAGAAGCAGGAGATTCGCTTGAACCCGGGAGGCAGAGGTTGCAGTGAGCTGAAATCATGCCACTGCACTCCAGCCTGGGTGACAGAGCAAGATAGGAAAGAGGAGGAGGGGAGGGGAGGGGAGGGGAGGGGAGGGGAGGGGAGGGGAGGAAACAGTGATAAAACCAAGTCCCCCAGCAAGAGAGAGAAAATCACTCTTTGAAGCTCGGTACTGCTTCAAAGGAGAGAATGTCTCTATTGGAATCATTAGGGATTCACATGGCAGGGGATGGAAGAGCTTAAGTGTGATAGCAGGGAGCTGAGGGGCTCAGGCTGTGGATCCGGTTTTGTTCTATGAATGAGGAAGCAAGATCTTTTGCAGTGAGCCAGGAGGTAGCAGTGACAATTCGCAGAGTAGCAAAGACTTCTAGAGCCACTAGGGGATGGGAGAAAGGTGGCAGGGGACCCACACAAAGGGGACAGGTACTGATCAAGGCCCAGCAGATACCCTGGGTTTGAGGAGTGTGGCTGCATGGCTGGGAGGGGTCACCACAGATCGTGGCTGCATGGCATGTGTACGTGTGCTCAGAGAAGGGCCCTATCACCCCTGCCTGAAAGTAGAAGGTACAGAACTGACAGGTGATCACCAAAAGACCATCAATGTCACTGCTGTCAGCCAAGTGGCCACCACACTCCAGTGACTGCTGGGCAGTTTGTAACATGATTTGATTTATCCCTCTTGACAACCCTAAGAGGTCTTTATCACTACTTCCACTTTATGGGTAAGGAGGCAGAGGCACAGGGACTTAGCTTATAAGTGACACAATCCAGATTCAGGCAGAACCTGTCTAGTGCCTGGACTGGCCCGTGGTTAGACAGAGGACAAACAGGTGTGAAGGAAGCCAGACAACAAGGAGAGAGAGAAAGAACTCACCCCAGCAGGAGTGAACCACAGGGCAAGGCCAAATGAGAAAGGAAGAGAAAAGGCAGCTGCCTCCTGGAGGAGTCAGATCTGGAAGGGCACTGGCAGGGTAACTGCTGTGGTGGCCAGAAAAGGGCTTCTGACTTTAAGGTCACTGAGCCAGAGCCCACAGGGTCTGCAGGTGGCCATGTGGGGCAGAGGTGGATGGGGCCTAGTGAGGTCAGGCTGCGTGGGGACTGGCATTTCATGTTAAGGTATGGCTGAAAACGCAAGGGCATGCCGACTGGGTAGCAAGGCCCAGGGGTTGAGGACAAGCTCCATGGCCAAGGGCCCTGGGGGACCTGAGGGCTGAGATGGGTGGGCACAATCCTAGCAGAGGCACCAAGACACCAGGATTTGGAAAAATGAGTGGCATGGGGAGGGGAACGCTGAAGAGGGACACAATTGACCAGTCCCTGGGCCAGATTTGCCCCTCCTGGAGGGTGGGAGATGCCTAGGTAAAAGTTCCTTTTCCTGGTTGGGCTCTGCTCCCCAGAGGTCTCACATTCTGATGCCCCTGCCGGGACTTTAAAAAGACAGATGAGCAAGCCAGCCCTGGCTGACTCAACATGCACTCAGAAGGGCCTCAATCCAGCCACCAGATGGCAGCTGGAAATGAGACAAAGCTTCCCGAAGTCAAAGAAGGCCTACACTTCAGAAGCTGCTTGAAGAGCCAATCACACAGTCCTGGGGTTGCCTGATCAGAACTGCAGAAACCTCCATGCCCTTCCTCGTATGAATTTTTCTAATAAAGTATAAGAAAGGAAGTGAGAATCTGAGAATCAGGACTGTCTTCAAAGGCTGCTTGGTATTGTGGTGAGCTCTGGTCTCTCTGGTGATACAGAGCCCTGTCCATCTCCAGCCCAGCAGGGAAGACCCCTGATCTATGGCCCAGGACATCATCTGAGGTCCCAGCCATCAGCTGCCCAGAGTTCCACACCCTCTCTGCTCTAAGCGCCCTCTGGGTCTGGCATGCCCAGCGGGTGTAAAGCATAAGTGTTTAGTGGCCACAGCCTACACAGCTAGATGTTGTCCCCCAGCAGCTGAGAAGAGGGACCTCTTTCCATGGGAGGAAACAAGTGAGCTGATCTTGGCTAGGGTGTTGGAGATGCATGTGCTAAACGCCAAGAGGTCAGGAAGATAGGGATCTAGCAAGAAAGAGGAGAGGCTGCCCCGCAGGAAGGCTGGGTATATAGGAAGAAAGCAGAGGGGTCAAGGATGGGGAGGTTTTTGTTGTTGTTGTTTTTTTGTTTTTTGAGACAGGGTCTCAAAAAACTTCATGCTGGAGTGCAGTGGCATGATCTCAGCTCACTGCAACCTCTCTGCTTCACTGGTTCAAGTGATTCTCCTGCCTCAGCCTCCCGAGTAGCTGGGATTACAGGCGAGCACCACCACACTCAGCTAATTTTTCTATTTTTAGTAGAGACGGGGTTTCGCAGTGTTGGTCAGGCTGGTCTTGAACTCCTGACCTCATGATTTGCCCGACTCGGCCTCCCAAAGTGCTGGGATTACAGGTATGAGCCACTGTACCTGGCAAGAACGGGTAGTTTTTATGAGCTTAAAGACAGATGTGGGGAAGATCAGTGATGGGGACAGGAAGATATGGTCAGCAGATGGCTATGGGGCAAGGGAAGGTTTGAGGTGGGGCAACAGCAGCCCCAGGAGGCAATGACCAAAGCTGATCCAGAGGCCATGGGGTTGGACAGGTCACCCCCAGCCTCAGCTCAGTGGCAGGAGGTCTGTGCAGAGCAGCTCCAGGTGGAGGAGTCAGACACACATGGAGACCCCAACATGAGGCCGGCGGGGCAGGACAGCGCAGCACACAGCCTCCTTGAGGCTGAGGGAGAGCCGGCAGGGGTGACACAAAGGACGTGGGGAGGATAAGGCAGCTTGCTACAGAGCAGGGAGGGGTATGAGGCAAGGGGCTTTGGGGAAGGTGAGGTCCTACTCCACCCCAGACACAGCTCTTCTCTCCTCTGCATGTGCCAGTGCACCTGTGCTACCCACATGAAGTTTCTCCCCAGCCCCTGACAGTGAGCTCCTCAAGGGCCAGGTCCAAGTCTGTGCCCATTCATCTTGGAGTTCCCTGCATCTGGCTCAGCCCCCAGGACACAAAAGGACACCAACCAAAGCCTGCGGAGGGACATATGCACGCTCTTTAGTGCATAAGAACCATTTTGCCTTCGAGTGACCTCGCAGGATTGCATTGCTTTCCTTCACAGAACAGGAGCCTTCCAATGTCAACGGTAAACAGGGACCGTAAACAGAGGGAGTGTGAAGGGAAAACACCATCTAGGGAGTTTTGACATTTCTCACGCACTTGGAAAAGTCTGCCCAATTTTTGGCTGAAGTCTATTTCTTCTGAGTGATGAATCAAAGAAAAATCTATTTTCTTCCCCCCAAGCAGTAGAAGAAAAGACTCAGTGTAATTCTCACAAGTGCTATGTGCCTTTGATTTCTCAGAGTTTGATTGATGTGACATAATATTTGGGTATAACAATTAAGAACTAATAAATTCCACACAGGCAAAAATGTATCATCCAACCCCAAATACACAGGTAGAAGGGAATGTGAAAGCTGCAACCAGCTCCATGGAAGGAATACCAAACTGACTAGAGAAAAGGCCACTGAATTCCAGGGCATTTTACAGGACATGCTGGCTTCATTGCTTTCAAATCCTTATTGTAAGGTCTTTTCGGCTGACTGACAGCACCATGGATGCCATGTTAACCTCTGTGACCTGCACAGACACTCTGGATGAGTTCCTAGAAAAGAGGAAGAAGTGATCAACCCCTGCAGCACCTACTTAACTTTGAGACATTCTCTATTGCTTCTTACTCCCACCCCAACTGATAAGGCCATTGGACTATGTAACTGACCTTGGTCAACCTCCTGACTCTAGCTCCTACGACCCCCCTCCCAGCTTGCAAACCTACAACCCCTCCCAGCTTGCTAAAAACCACCCTAAACCATAACTTCTGAAATTTCCCACTGCTTACTGCAAAACTATAAAACCAACTCCTATCCCACTGCCCTTCGCTGACTCCCTTTTCAGACTCAGCCCACCCACACCTGGGTGAGTAAATAGCCATGTTGCTCACACAAAGCCTGTTTGGGGCGGGGGGTCTCTTCATTCAGAGCATGTGTTTTAACACTTATGAGAACTTGAAATATGTGGGAAAAGTTTTTATTTCCCCTGAAGGGCTGACTGCAGGCAAATATGCCCTTCTCCTGGGGATAAGTCCAATAGCAACTGTTATCCAAACCCCTTTTCAAAGGGAGCCAAATAACCAGTGTTCAAAATTCTTGGGGAAAGCACATTGTTCTGCTCTGTGGGGGCTGCTTAGCAAAGATAGTTTGGCCTCCTGAGGTGGAGAGGTGACTTCTACACTCTGGCCACTGAGCCTATCCAGACCTCCCATCCACCTCCTTCCTAGCCAGATGGAGGCCCTAGTCCCAGATCCTGCCCAGGCCAATACCCTCAGCTTCAAGGGAAGAAGCATGGAACTGACTCCACCAAGTTAACTTGAACCTCCCCTGGTGACTCCCAGGCTGAGGGATGCTGCAGTGTGGCTGCCTATGATGCCTAGGCCGCAGAGAACCCCCATAGTCCCTGAACACTAGCCTTTGGCTCCAACCACTCCCACCACCTGGAGAGTCTTCTTTCCTGCCCTCCTCGCCTCCATCTTGATATTCTGAAGCTTCTCAGATCTCACTTCCCACCAGTAACAACCCCCACCCACCCCCCACCTACAGCCACTCCAAGACACTGAGGGCCTCCTACCTTACACTGTGCTAATCCACATGCAAGTCTCCCTTCCAACCACAGGGATCTTGGTTCTCACCTCTGTGGGAGCTGCCATGCCTTACTCCTGAAGTTCAAGTTCATATAGGGCTATAAACTGAAAACAAAATTCTAACCCACCCCCCAACCATGTAAATGGACTCCTCCTTTCAGCCAAGGGCATTCCAAAGTTAACTTTAAAAATGCACGGTGGCTCACGCCTATAATCTCAGCACTTTGGGAGTCCGAGGTGGGTGGATCACCTGAGGTAGGGAGTTAGAGACCAGCCTGACCAACATGGTGAAACCCCATCTCTACTAAAAATACAAAATTAGCCAGGTGTGGTGATGCATGCCTATAATCCCAGCTACTTGGGG